CATGATTTCTCTGGGATGCCTGAGCCTCAGAGGGTCAAAGCAGAAAGGATTTAAGGGAAGAAAAAGACAGCCATCAGAAACCAAAGACAATTTTTTCTGTTCCTAGTCTCCCCCTGCCCAAAATGGTACATCTGTGTTCTTCTGAGTAACAGCACATGATGACTGGCAGATCACCCCACCAGTCTTCAGCTAAGTCTGGGGCTGCAACCAGCAAAGCCATCACCTGGGGCTCTGTCAGGGTAAACGGCTACAGTATACAGGGTAGTTCACCAAAGAAAAAACAAAAGAAAGACAGAGCTACAGATAAAGGCAGTGCTCGTTAGCGTGGCATCTCTTCTGATCATATCATGCCGAGTTAGGTCCTAAGTCCTAAGCTACCTCTGTGTGGCTTTTGTTAAAATAAGAGTCTCAGCGTGGAGATCTCTTTATCCAAACCTAGACCTTGTTCCTCAGGGGGCTCTTGCCTGGAATTAAACCATCATGCTCTAGCCACGTGCAGGAGGCCCATTTCTCTCTCTCTCTTTTTTTTTTTTTGCCTTACTCCTCACCTGCACCTCTTGGACAGTGTTCAGTGCCTGGGAATCCAGGAAGGAACGATGGACAGGATGGAAGAATCTGGTGAGGAAGAGGCTACCTCAAGGCATGGGAATGCCTCTCCTCACCAAGATTCTTTGTGCACGCTGGCACCAGGTCTTTGAGGGTCTCAAAACTAACAAATATGAAACTGATAAAAATAGGGTAAAAATTCCTTAACCTTCAAGTCTCACAAAATCCCAGCAAAGCAGATGACCATCTGCTTCCCGCCTGCTATACATATGCCTTTTCTTATTATGACCTCATATTTATTACAGCTAGGCTGAGAAATTAAAGAATCTCAGCTTATCCCTGGCTCAACCCACTAAACAAATACTCTGTCCAAAAATGAAACATCCAGAGCAGGCTTTAGAAATAGGATGTAATGGAAAATTGAGAACTTTCTTTAAAAAACCAAAATTATTAAATTTTGTTCCATTATGCCAAGACAGACCTAATTTCCCTCAAGTGGACTTTCATTGAATATGCGGACATTTCATATCCCCCACTCACCCTAATAGTGCTGCGCCTTATACTGGTTCAGATCACCTTGTGAATATTACCTGGTGAGTTCCCAACTATTTTTATGAGACTGATGCATTCCCCAACAGCAGAAACAGGTCAGCAAATAAGCTTGGACTGGGTGGATTTAAAACATTTCAGGAGTTAAGTCAGTGATAACATGTAGCAAAACAAGAGCTGGGATGGGAGAACAGAAGGCAGGAGATACTGAGGCTTATCACAAAGGCAAGAGGAGAGATGGATGTGTGTATAGAAAGAAGACGTTGGCTGAGTGGTGGAATATGGGGTTGTCTTTTTTGTGGTCCCAGAGTCAAAAAGTGGTCTAATCCAGAACATCTGAATTTCGGTTTCAGAGAAACGTTATCTGTGATTTCAGTACCCCATAGGGACATCGAGCAGGGAGAAGTGAAGCCCAGAATAGAAATAGATTCTTCAGCTAGAAGAGTGGACAGACCCACATTGGGCGGTCGTGTTCATGGCTTATGTCAACCCTGGGGGGTGGGGGAGATGCTCGAAGGTACCATCTCTTCATAGTGGAGGTAATTCTATCCAGACCCTGGCTCACAGAGTATCTTGGCCTAGAGCTCTACCCCTGTGTCTGAAAGCCTGCTGGCATTCTGCCCTCATGGGGATTCAGAGGGAGACACGTGAATTCCCCACCAGAAGTCTGGAAGTGAAGAGAGGAGCATCTAAACACAGACCTAGTTAGAACGACTCTCTACCTTGGTTTCTTTTCCTCCTCTACTCTTTTCCCCCATCCCTCCCTCTTTGTTTTGAGGGGATGCCAAAGACTAACAATAGCAAGGGAAACTGGACATAGAGATAAATGTTCTTCTGAGGGGACCTGCAGTACTCCATTTGATCATTCGGTGTATCTCCAACGGTTTCCAGTTTGCTCGGCATTTCTCGAGATGCTGCCATACTTTTTCATCCAAAGAGCAGCACAGGTTTTGAGATCTCAAGGACCCTCTTTTCAAGGGAGAGAGAAGAGACAGAATCTGACACATGGGAAGGGATATCCTGGTCAGCTATTAGAGGGAAGGGGGAAAGTCACATTTATTAAGAGGTGGAAGGAAACAAGATTAGGAGTTCCGTGACTTAACATAAAACTGTCTTTTATTTTCTGGTCTTACTAGAACGGTAAATGCAGGCTCAGGGATAAGAAACCCAATTTCTTGGTCAGGGGAAATTGAATAAGAGCGTTCCTAAGTTCATTGGTTCTAGAAAAAGCCCAGTGGTTGGTCGGGGGACTGCCTCTGCAAGGCTCGATACCACTGCATTCGAGACTCTGGTGCTTATGTGTGTATGTGAGTTTAAGGAGTTCAGGTGTCCAGGGAGAGTTCCTGGCACAGTAAATTTAGTGTTCATAATGTGGTTTACAGGCAAATCCCATTTCTGGTAATTGCTCTGCCAGGCTAAATTCCTCCTCCTGTTGAGATGGCAGAAGAGATCAATTCTTGTTCTCACACCACAGTGCAAGAGGCTTGCTGACTCAGAGCGGCTGTCCTGGAGTAGGCCTGTCCCTAGGGGAAGCTGCATTTCTGAGGGGGAAGAAAGCAAATTTGTGCACAGAAAACAGCCCACTGCAGCACTTTGGCATGAAATGACTGGGCAGAGGAAACCTTTCAAACATTACAAGACCCAGCGTCTGAGTCTTCCGTAAAGGGGGGCACGCCTGTTCAGATCAGGGTGTGACGTAGTCACGTTCACAGGGGCAGCTACTCCCGAGCACACAAGTGGTGAGCAGGAGAGCGCAGTGAAAACGGACATTAGGTCGGGGAGGAGGCGGCTTCTGTTCTGCCTCCGTGGTCTCCTGCCCTGGGCCTACTTTGATGTGGGGCTGCCTGGGGGTCATGAAGCTCCAGCAGTATCTAAAAGAGAAGGCAGGGCCGTGAGCAATGATTCTGCAGCCCCACAGTTGTATTTGGCTTTTCAGGGTAGATGCAACTATGCCTTAGTTCTATTTCAACCAAAACAGACAAAAAACCAGAAGTCAAAAGAGGCTCCTTCTAAGAAAAATAACAGCCCCTCGCTTCTCCTCCCCCAAGAGGTGGAGGCTGGCTTGGCTGGAGGAGGATGGAGAAAGTGTTCAGCCACGGGGATCTCGGGCCAGGGGAGGGGCCTGTGAGGCCAGCTCGGCCTGCTCGTGGCTGTGAAGGGAACGCCTGCCTGGCACCCTTCTCCAGCAGGCCCTTCCAGCCCCTGGGAGGAGAGAAGGGAGGAAGTTGAGGGGATGGGACATTTCCACCAGATAGAGGGAGTGATGTGCTTCCCCGAGTGGACAGTCGATACAAGGCGAGGACTGATTAGTCAAGTAAGTCTCTCTCTTTCTCCATGCTTCTGAGTTTGGGGGGGTGGTGGTTAAGAATGACACAGTGGCCTGAGGCCGTCTTCTGCCCAGCTCCTCCCCTGGGGAGAGAAAAAGCCTCGTCCCGGCCCCAGGAAGTACGCAGGGCCATGGGGAACCCCCATCTCATGACACTGTGATGAGGTCGCATCAGAGTCTCCGTGGCTAGGAGGAGCAGCCCAGGTCTCAGCTGAGGTATATTTACTAATCACCTTCAAAGTGTCAGGACAAACTGACCCTCACTTCACCAACTAGCTGCGGAAGGGGCCCTCCTCCCAGGAGGTCCTCAGTGAACTCAGCCTCTCTCATGGAAGTTTCACATTTCGGTCTGGCCGCCTTTCCTCTCGCTCTAGAAGTCTCTACTCAGTGATGGAGGGCCCACCTTGGGTATGTGTGCACTACCATCTCAGGGAGTGGCAGGGAAGCCTGGGCCTCTGGCTCGGGGCCTCGCTGCTTGGCAGAAAGGCCCACTGCCTCCTGGCCCAGAGTCTACCTTGACATTCGGTCCTATGTGCTGGTTCCAGATTCTTCTCTACTGGATGGAAAACAGACTCTGCCTTAAGTGCCCCCCACCACCAGGGATCCTTAGGACCAGCATTTGCAGGGCTAAGGCCTGGCGGAGTCCTGACTGGACTTCTGCTCACACCGGCTAGTGCTCTGGCACAGGGGTTGTTAAATGCTTTCCAAATATACTCTTCCCGGAGCCTCAGTGGAGACTGAGGGCCGTCCCTGGCCTATCCTAACCCAGCACCTACTGAAGAGGTGACAGGCTTCAAAGAGACGGCACTGTCCCTCCCCGCAGCCCCCATTCCCTCCATCTCTTTGAGCCTCTCCCCCGGGGTGCGGCTGCCTGACCATGGCTTTGCTCACCCAGACCAGCCCTCGCTGCTGCTGCCATAGCACCCTGACCCCTTCTGCCACTTCAGCTTTTCCTTTTTGGCCTCCGACCCCTGGCATCCAACACTCCCGCACTTAGCCTGCACTTCTCTGGGGGAAGCGAGCCGGAGGGAGTGTGCAGGAGATGCTCTTGTGGTTGCCCTCCCTGGCAGGGGTGCTGGCCGGGGAGCAAGAGCCGCTGAGGGAGGGGACCCCTCTGCTGGGGTCTCCACGACTCCATAGCGAAGAGCCAGAAAGTCTTCCAGGCTTTTCAGGGCAAGGGGTGTAGACACAGGCCAGCTCCATCCCTCTGCGGCTGAGCTGACAGCAAAGGGGCAAGGGGCAAGGGGAAGCAAAGCCATCCTCACGTCCCTCCTGCCACGGGCAGCCCCCTGCGCCTTCTCAAATTTCCTGTCCCCAGCAAAGAGGCAGCACGCGGGCAGGGCCCATCTTGCAAAGGGAAGTAAAGCAATGGGGCGGGTGCCCCTGGTTTTCCTGGTGTCCCTTGGTTCCTCTCGTCTGATGATGCACGGTGTCCTCCCATCTTCCTCCCCCCCGGGCAGCACTGGCTTCCCAACTCGGTGGAGAGAAGAGCATGCATCGGAGGGGGGAGCAGCCTCTAGCACTTGTCGTCTTCTTCCGTATCACTCAGGAGGTCGCTGACAGCCCCACACATGACGCCGGGCCCAGGCCCCCCGCGCCGCCACCGCCGATAGTGCCCGTTGGGCATCTGCCAGCCATGCCTCAGCGGCGGCGCCGAGCCAATGGTGTTGGAGCGGCCCAGGCTGGTGGCCACGGCGGCTTCGAAGGTGAGCGTCTCCTCCTCGCCACAGTCCGAGGCGTGGGAGTCTTCGTGCAGGGCCAGGTAGGGCTCGGAGATGTAGCGCTGGGGGGAGCAGTGCTGGCCCTGCTGGCCGAGCCGGGAGCCGGGAGCCTCCACCAGGCCGGCCTCCGTGCTCTCCAGCGCCTGGGAGGTGAGCGGGGAGCCGCCCTCGCTTCCGTCAGCCGGCGGCGGGGAGATGCTCCCGGTGTGGTGCAGCAGGGAGCTGTAGGAAAGGAGGGGCCGCGGCTTTGGGGGAACAGGTGGGAGCTGCCGGCGACTTCGTCTTGGGGTGCTGGTGTCAGAGATGGAGGGGATGGAGCTTTCACTCAGGGAACCTGTGCCCTGTGCAGCGGGACAAACAAGGCAGGTTAGGCCGCGCCTGGCCTGATCCCTACGTGGGGCCTGGGTAAGGTCCCCAACCCTCCCTCCAGAGAGTCCTTGGAGCCTGGGGGAGGGAGATCTGAGCTGGGGGGTCCCCTCCGCTTAGGAAGGGAGGGACTAAAGGAGACGGAGGAGTCTCCACCGTGGAGACCAGGGCAAGCAGGCTCAGCAGGTCTGGGGTGGGGTCCGAGACTCTGCATTTCTATCACGCTCCCAGGTGCGGCTGGACCATGGAGCATACACTTAGAGGAGCACGGATCTGGAAGCTCAAAAAATGTTAACAGGGGGCACACGGAAAGAAAGCCTTGCAACCTTGAAGGAAGACAGCTACATGCAAGGTGAATGGATGCTAAGGGGTCGCTGTCTGGGAAACCTTCCCTGGGAAGTGGATCTGAGAGAATGGCAACTTCCTTCCCTCATCTTCATTCTTTGCCTTCATGTCTTCAGTGGCTGGTTGAGCTTAACTCAGCTTCTCTACCCACATGCTCAGCTGCTGCTTCAGGCCTTACTTGATCTGCTCACCTAGACCCAAGGGTCCCTGAGCCCGGCACTGGTAACGAACCTCTTGCTCAGAAGTTCCTGGGGAAGTAGGGGTCCTTTCAACTTTCTGCTTTTCCCTTTCTAGCTGGTCTCACTACTGAAGCAAGCAGAGCCCTCTAGGTCCCTGGAATATGCAGTTCTAACAAGCTTTCGTGATTCTGTTCACTAAAATGTGAAAGCCACTGCTCTAGAAGAAACTTCTTAACTGCCTCTAAAGTCTACTGTAGCAGACCGTCCCCTTCCCCTCTGCTCACTGCTGGTGAGGGGTCTCCCATCAGGGCTCCCACAGCCTTAAACAGAGTTCAGGCTGGGAGTGAGGAGGAAAGCGGGAGTCAAGAGAATGTTTTCAGACAGCTCGGGTAGTGATTTCTTAGGCAGGGGCTGGAAGGAGAACGGGGTCTTCCTTTTGGGATGGCTGGAAGCTAGGTAAATGAGGTTGAACTGATCCAAATGATAAATCCTGTGCTGAGAGATGAATCATCACTGTAACTAAGGATCATGCAACTGGTCAAAGAAACTTTTCTGGCTAGAGGGGATCCTTTCCTCCTAAATCTGGCTGAGACTTCTGTGAACTTACTTGTGACTTTGTACCTCTGGGTTCTGAGAACTGAGATGGAATGACTTCTAGATACCGTTGTCTTTCTTGGGGGAGCTATCTGGGTTTCTGAGTACACAAGCATGAAGTAGCCAACTTCCACACACAATGGGTAGAGTTTGCTGTGACACCAAGGTGTCACATTTTGTCACATACCGGATGCCCACATTTTGCACCTAATGTTAGCAGACCACCCCTCCGTTTCTTTCTACAGGGGCTCCACTTCCTCTCCAGGCTCACCTGTCTGTTGGGGGTCTGTGACCGGCCCTCACTGGGAGACCTGGACTGCTGGCGCTCTGGGGACTCCCAGTCGGCCTGGGTCCCTCGCTCCTCTGAGTTGCAGCGGGAGACATCGGGAGAGAGAAGATGCTTTCGCTCTTTCGACCGTCCCCGCTCTCTGCCCCCTGAGCGGTGGGTGTCAGACTTGTGGCCTGGGAGAGATGACAAAAGCACGTGATCACAACTCTACACATACTGGCCTCTGAACATAAAGAGATGTCATACAGCCTGGGAGGGACTGGGCCCCTGAGGAATACTAGCTTCTCCAGGCATGTCAACAGGTGATCTGAAAGGGAGGCAGGAAGGAAAGGTTAGAAAATTACCCTTTTGTGAAGAGGAAAGTGTGCAAGTTGCCATTGGAAAGACACACATGTCAAAGGATGCACTTGATTCTCTTCTGCTTCTGTTTATGCTAAAACACAATTAAGATAGAATCTTTGCCAACAATATGGCCCAGGAATTCTCTATGTCCTAAACACGGGTGTGGCATCAGTAAAGGGCTGGAGGTCAAAGGGTTTCAGTCCACTGAGGACTTCTAGTCCCATTTCTGCCACTTACTGGCCCTATGCTAGAGGCATGTCACTGCTTTGTGATCTGTTTCCTCATCTAGTAAAATAGAAACCATTAGAAAATCATGAGAATGCTTCAAACTCTATCAGTATGACCCTTTTCCTTAAAAAAGACAAACAAAACTCAAAAACCTAAAAAAATTCCAGGTAGCACTACTGGGGTTGAAGTGGAGTTGGCAGTAAGAGCCCAGCCCCTGCCAGGAATGTGTTAGAGAGACCCCCTAAGGCAGGGCACCTGGGTGGCTCAGTGGGTTAAGCGGCTGCCTTCAAGTCAGGTCATGATCCTGGGGTCCTGGGATCGAGCCCCGCATCGGGCTACCTGCTCAGCAGAGAGCCTGCTTCTCCCTCCTGCTCTGCCTACTTGTGCTGTCATCAAATAAATAAATAAAAATCTTTAATAATAATAAAAAGAAGAAACCCCCTAAGGAACCTCAGTGGTTTTGCAGAAGGTTATTTGAAAATCTCAATTTTTTAAATTATTGAAGTATAATTAAAATAGAAGATTATATTAGTTTCAGGTGTAAAACGTAATTGATTCAACGGTTCTATACATTTTAATGACTTCTACAGCCCTACTCTGAAAGAAAGAAATTTCAGCCTTTATGATGAATATAGAAGACTTTGTTTCAGGATAAATCAGATAGGGAACTCTTTCCTGGTGACAAGTGTTCTTTCTTCCCTTGCTCTCCTCAACCTGTATCCTTATCTGAATCCTGTGCCAGTGATTTTCACTTCTTGTCAGAACTGGTCACCAGCGCAGGAGCCTGAAAAGAGGTGAACAGGGAAGACCCCCTTACCTGAGTCAGAATTCAGGCGATGAGCTGACAGTCTCAGTGAGGAGTGGTAACTCCGACGACGTGACTTGTAGGTGTTTTCACTGCTTCTCTCCATGGAGAATTCCTCTAACCATGAGGAATTTGAACGCTTATCCCGAATTGTGGAAAATGAACGTCTCATGGAGCTGGGATCTGTCACCACCTGGAAATAGGAGCCCCCAGAGGAACACAAAATCTGGATTAATTACGGAAAAGGTCTAAAAGTAAGGGAGAAGTGAGCTAAAGATTGTTGAAGATTGCAAACTGTAACCTTCCTTGAATCCCTCTTGCTCAGATCTTAGCTGGCAGCAAGTGTCCTATGCTATGTTAACAGAGACACTGAGACTTATCCAGGGTCTTGTCTTCATGCTCAGGAAAGCAAGCAGTAAGCGTACAGTGCAAGCTTTCCATAGAGCCCTCTACCATAGGGGCCCAGCCAGGACCTGCAGTGAACCTTGCGCCACTCTGAAATATGTGAGGGCAATTACAAAAAGTCTGCACCATGAAAGCAGCATAACTTTGCCTTTTATTTGTTGCTCTCACCAGGGAAGGCCCTTCCCTATAGCACAGGAGCTTAGGACAGCTCGTCATAGCTGGGCAGCATCTAAGAATGCATTGCTCTCTATCGTCCATCCCCCCGCCCCCCTCCCCCGGCCCCACCTTAAACTCTTGCATTTTGATTTGCCACAGATGTTAAAACAGATCCACAAAAACTTCTTCTCTCTGTCAAAACTTGATGTAAGACAGACAGACAGAAAAAAAGAAGCCAGAAAAACAGACAAAGAAATGAGGCGTGGCCTGCACTGGTTAGGACAGACGGTCCTGACACAGAGCTGTGTGTGTTAAGTAATTGCATATGTGCTGGGGAAGCCAGGAAAGGTGGAAAGGAAAAAAAAGAACCACAGGGAAAATCCTGGAAAATATTTCTTGCATGGCTGGTTGAGTCTTGAAGATGTTGAGCCCATCCAGAAGGAGTTAGACTTTTATGCTTAGGGCTTCACTAAAAACACACTGTGGAGGAGCAAGCAGACTCTAAAGAGAAGGCCCATGAGCCAGATTTTGCTTATATGGAAGGGATGGGGGCAAGTCGAGGGCTCACCTGAAAATATCAGATGATTTTTTTCATAACCCACCAATTCAATACAGTCCAGGATGCCACTACACATGGTAGGTGGTGATAGCTTTTTACCTGGGGATCCATAGTCAGGCGTGGCATAGAGGATGCCCTCCCCGATCCCGTATGCTCCTGGGTGTCCGAAGGAAGGTAGATGCCATGGTTAGAGGACTGCACGCTTTTTAATTCACTAACCTCTGGCTCCTGGAAATAAACACACAGCCAAGCTTGTGGGACTTGGTTCCATCTCATTGCTTCTCACCTCCGGTGGATGATTCTGCCTCCTCCATAACAAGAATGGTTTTTAGAAGAGAGACTTGCATCTTTAAGGTCTCAGTTGTATGTGTATATATGTGTGCATCTATGTGTGCACTTGTGGTATACCAGATGTCCCAAACAGAAAACTCTACCAGGGACTGAAAGGTAAAGACTACCTTTTCTAGTCAAGTACCCTCTTATTGACCTCTAAGCAGTGCTCCCAATTTTATAGCTCTGTAAAACCTTATCAGTCATAGTACTTCTTAGATTTGTGAAGTTTACCTTCTGAAAGTTGGTAGTGTTTATTAGGGTTATTAATTGGAAGAAGCTATTTGTCAAACAGAAACCACTGTTCTAAGGAAAGTCACCAATTTCTGGTGTCAAATATATCATCTCAAACCTTAAGACGCATGATTTTATTAGCTGAAAACTTACTTTCTGATTGAAACCATTCGAAAAATGTGATAGATAGCCATTTGTCAGGGATGCTCTCCACTAGTGCTGTCCAATAAAAATAGTATGCAAAGTGCCTCTGTAAAATTTCCTAGGAACTACATTTAAAAGAAATTTTAAAAACCATCAAGTTTAATATATTTAGCCCAATATATCCAAATATTCTCATGTCAACATGTAATCAATCTAAAACTTGGGATATTTCACCTTCTTTTTGGCACCACGTCTTTGACATGGGCATGTATTTTCTACGTACAGCACATCTCAGTCCAAGTGCTCAATGGCCACATGTGGGCAGTGGCTATTATACTGGCCTGTGCCACTCTAGAAGATTAGATTGGAACTCTCTAAGGGGCCAGCTCTTATAGGTGGTTTTCCTGGTTAAAGGATGTTTGTTAGTTTGGCAAACGTACGTGATCCACACAGATAGCTACTGTCACTGCCTAAGGGGAAGAGTTGCCTTAGAAATGTTTACATGGGCCACCAAAGAGACCTAGAAATATCCTGGACATCTGGAGATTTTACCAGGAAAAAAAAGCTATTTTATATTTAGAGAATGACACCCTGAAAACCTAGTTGTTTAAATAGGGCACTGCTGAAGGCAAGGGTGCCCGAGACCCGGCTCGCCTCCAAGACCATTTGACCGGGTGGTTTCTGGTGTGAACGGGAGGACTGCCCTCCTAGAACATGTGATATGTGCGCTTGAGGAAATGTGTGCACTACATGCTTTATAAAGCACACAGGTCTGACTTAAAACAGACGTGGTAACAACACTGCAGTTTGTGGGGTGTGAGAGGTGGGATAAGACACATGCACAAATCATGGCCACGCCTCTGGACGTGGAGCAGGGGGCCCCAAGGGATGGGCAGGAGTACACAGTGGTGAGCGTGTGGCATGGGCTGACACCTGAACTGAATTACAGACACCAGTACTGACAATGAGATGAACACAGATCCAAAATGTCCTGGCCCTATGGCTCAGCCCTGGGGAACCCACAGAAATAATGACATAATAAAGAAAGCCTCCCTGTGAAAGAAAGGACACATTATTGAGATTTTCCCAGCCAGACACATCATCAGGCAGACAAGCTGTAAAATGCTGAGAGGCACTTCTTTTAAGAATCAAACTATCTGTGCCAATTAGTCCATGGTGCTAAGTTCCTCAGAAGGGAAGGCAGGAAATAGTCCGAGGATTCCTGCCTACCTTACCAAGAACACCCAAGGTACTCACACCCTAAGAGGGTTTGGTCTAGTGGTCTCCCAAACATCTACACAGAACTCCCTGTCTCAGCAGTCACAGGAGACGGAATCACCCATTTGTTTGAGCTACCGGAGGGTTTTGCCCCCTCTAAGGGTTCCCATGCCATCAGACATGCACTCCATCAACAGGCCAGTCCCACATTCCACCCACATCATCCATCCAGGATGGCTCTGGGGTACACAGTAGCAGTGGAGGGGGTCAGGAGAGAAGGGGAGAGGAAAAAAAACACACAGATGAATTATAATCAAAGTGACACGGAACTCAGGATAAGCTGTCTATGTGGACTTTTGCAAATGTTGAGTTGTGTCTTTTTCTTTCCAGGCCCATGAACACTTGGGCTTTGATTCTAAGTTCAGGACGGACGTTGATCTCAGGCTCCTGAACTAAGGATAACGGTAAAGTCTATTATCATTGGGAATCAAAACACAAAGCTATTTTAGCTTTGTATTAGCGAAATCTAAAGGTCAATGTGCACCGCCCCCCAGCTTAAACTTGATTCAATAGGTTTCTCAGGAATTTTACCTTTTATGCTAATGAAAAACTTTAGGCTCAGGGGAGGGATTTTAGGGACCTCTTAGTATGTACTTGATTTATAGAATTGTGACCAAAAGGGACACAAAGAAAAGAGGTAAGAGATTTTTCTGTAACTCTTGGCTGACAGCTCGTCATGGTCACACATGCTCCCCTGAGTTATCCAGGAGGTGGGCATCTCCAGAGGGCTGGCATAGGGCATTCCTGTGTTCCCAGAAGCAGTACCTGGCTACACTAAGCTGTCCATTTGGCGCCACTCATTCTGATGGTTCATCCTAAGGCTCCATATCAAAGGCAAGATTTAGTGACTCTGGCGTCTACATTTGCTGCTTACAGGCATAAATTAAGAAGGTTTGGCCTGAAGCAATCTGGGTTCCTGCAGCAGGTAAGGGGTCTCTGGGATTGTTAAAACCTGCAGAGGGAGCATTTGTCAGAGAACATGAGAAATTCAGCCACAAAAGGAGAGAAAGCACGGTAACTAACTGGCAGGACTATCGGAAAGGGTTTTCCTGATAAACCACAGCTATGAAATAAGATTCGGAAATGAGAGTGGGAGGGATCGGGAAACCAAGGAACTATTTTTGAGGTCATGTAACTCATTCATTCACCAGAGACTGCTGTTCCTGGAACTGTCCATCGGCTGGGTCCATACAAGCCAACTGGAATATTTCCTGGGGGGAGAGCGGACTCATCGAAGGGTACCCGCTACGGCCACTCCTGAAAAGCAATGGCAAAGTCAGACGTCACGTGTACACGGGAGAAAGGGGAAGTCCTGTCATAGCACTGCTGCTAGCTCCCCACCCCAGATGGGGGACTTCCTTTCTGGCAAGGGCAACACCCGTCAGCACTGGCTGGGTGTAAGGCTGGCAACTGACAGGGGGCTGGACCCTAGAATAAAAAAAGTTAAAAAAAAAGAAAAAAGCATTGGAAAGGAGAAGCCACTGTTTTCAACCTGCATTTGGAACCATTCATCAGAATTCTGCTGGTGAC